ATCCACTCTCCATCCACTCTCCATCCACTCTCCCCTCCACTCTCCATCCACTCTCCATCCACTCTCCCCTCCGCTCTCCATCCACTCTCCATCCACTCTCCCCCCTCCGCTCTCCATCCACTCTCCTCCACTCTCCATCCACTCTCCATCCACTCTCCCCTCCGCTCTCCATCCGCTCTCCATCCACTCTCCATCCACTCTCCCCTCCGCTCTCCCCTCCGCTCTCCATCCGCTCTCCATCCACTCTCCATCCACTCTCCCCTCCGCTCTCCATCCACTCTCCCCTCCGCTCTCCATCCACTCTCCATCCACTCTCCATCCACTCTCCCCTCCACTCTCCATCCACTCTCCATCCGCTCTCCATCCGCTCTCCATCCGCTCTCCATCCACTCTCCATCCACTCTCCCCTCCGCTCTCCCCTCCGCTCTCCATCCGCTCTCCATCCACTCTCCATCCACTCTCCCCTCCGCTCTCCATCCACTCTCCATCCACTCTCCCCTCCACTCTCCATCCACTCTCCATCCACTCTCCATCCACTCTCCATCCACTCTCCATCCACTCTCCATCCACTCTCCATCCACTCTCCCCTCCGCTCTCCATCCGCTCTCCAACCACTCTCCCCTCCGCTCTCCCCTCCGCTCTCCCCTCCGCTCTCCCCTCCGCTCTCCCCTCCGCTCTCCCCTCCGCTCTCCCCTCCGCTCTCCCCTCCACTCTCTCCTCCACTCTCCACCCACTCACTCATCACTCCAAGCCAGGGGATCCCTGGGTTGGTCACTGCTGGGACCCTCCAGGCTCAAGCTGGGTGTGGAAAAAAGGCACAGGTGCAGGGGACACAGGACTGCATGGGACAAGCTTAAGATGGGAGGAAGATGCCCAGTGCTGTGGGGCTCCTGCTGCCAAGAGGGGACACCAAAATGTTGAGGACAGGACCCAGAGGGGTGCAGTAAGGAGAGTGCCGCTCCAGTGGGGACCCCATGCGGCTGCACATGCCACCACTGGAGGGAAGAGCTGTGGCTAGGAGGGCCTTGGGTGGGAGGGCCATGGCAGAGAGGAATGCGAACGACATGGCCAAGAAGGCCTGGAGGGCTCGGACCGCTATAGCTGTGAGGGCAGTGGCTGCAAGGGCTGGGGGGCCAGTGGCTGAGATGGCTGGGAGGGCCGTGCCTGGGAGTGCTGTGGCTGGGAGGGCTATAGTGGGTGCCTGGCTCGTACGGACGCTCCCCAGATCCTAGTTGGTATAATGAGGGCCACTGGGAGCTGGGGAGACCGCTGCGCACATGCACCCGGGACGCGGCACCCACCTGGCTGGTGCAGGCGCTCCACAGGTACACGCAGGTCCCCAGCCCCACGCTGAGCACATTGAGGGACGACCAGTCCACCAGGTTCAGGTAGAAGTCGTCCTGCAGCTCGGGCGCGTCCAGCACCTTGAAGGGGATCTTGGAGATCTTGCGCGTGGGTTTCCGTGGAGACCGGAGCAGCTTCTGGCTGCAGAGGTGGCCCCGTGGCATCCGTCAGCCACTGCACGTGGGTCACTTCTTGCGAACGCACAGAAAGTCTCTACTCCCCTGCCGGCCCCACCAGCCTGGTCCAGCCCCTCCAATCCCTGCCGCCACCGTGTGACCCTAAACCTGGGGATGGCCCCACAGCCCTTCACCCTCAGGTCTCTGGCTCTCCTGGGCTCCCTCCCATAGCTGTGCTGGCTCTGCTGCCCATACCTCCTCCAGGCAGCCCTTCCTGACTGCCCTGACCCGTCTGAGGCCAACACTGCCAGCCACGGTGTGTTCTCGGTGAGGGGGTCTCTGGGCCGCTCTGGCCTAGCGTACACTTCTGTTACTGACTATGGCTAATGGGGGGCTGGGCCCCCTGCACTCTCAGGACCCTGGGGGAGGGCACAGTCACAGCTCCAGGCCACCATGCCCTGGGGAAGCCCCTTTCAGCCCCGCCCACCAGGCCCCACAGGGACTCTCGGTGCTGAGGAGCCCTGCACCCACCTCTTGTTGCTGACAGGAGACAAGGAGTACGGCGACACATCATTGCCGTCATCGGGGCTTGAGCGCTTGGTGCTGAGAGAATACTGGGGAGCAGGCAACACACCAGCTGAATGGATGCCCAGGCCCTGGCACCCTCTGAGCCAGACCCCCGCGCTCCTGGTATTGCCCACACCCCTAAGGCAGGCCCTGAGACCACGTTTGGAGCAGCTGTGAACAGGAAGGCACCTTCCCAGCAGGGACTGTGAACCCCGTCCCCTTCCGCCCTCCTTCTTGAGGCACCCACACAGGGCTCTGTGTGATCCTGCCTTCGGGCTCCAGAATCTTCTGGACACAACAGGGCCTGTGGCCGGACCCAGTGCTGCCTCCCTAGGGCAGGACCCCCACCAGCTTCGGTATTTGGGACCCCAGGTAGCATCGGTGTGGCTGAGCCCAGACTCCTCCTGTGCCTCCACTTCCCAGCCTGCCTGCTGGGCCAGCAGCCTTCGGCCCCAGAGTACCAGGGCCCCTGGCCTGGCTGAGGAGCAGGGTCAGGACAGGGTGCTGAGCCATGGCCAGGTCCAAGAACCAGGCTCGGGGAGGCAGGGCTGGTGCCTGGGAGGTTGCCACCGGGAGACAGCTCTGGGGTGGGGCTGTGGGCTCACCGTGAACAGACCCTTCTTCTCGGGCGTGGAAGGCTGCAGCCTGCGGTCCTCGGTCTGCGGGTCCTGCACCTTCTCAATGCCAGCGCCCAGCAGCTCGTTCTTGAGCAGGGCGGAGTAGGCCAGGCCGTCTGTGGGCACCAAGCACAGTGAGGCGGGGAGGGGCGGGGCGGCCTGTGGGGCAAGTGGGCAGGCTGTGACCCTCACCTTTGCCGTTGTCTGAGGTGGCGTCCTTGGCTTTCCGGTTCTGACTGGGAGACTTCTCATTCTCCTGCAGGGAGGAGAGAGGGAGGGAGGAGTCAAGGCACCTGCTCGTCCCCAGCCTCGAAGCGAGGAGGTTTGGTGGGGCCCTGGGCCTCCCAGGGGGTCCTGTCTCCTGCCCAGCCGGCCACTCACATTGATCCTGTGGAAGTTCACGCTCCAGTTGGCCCCTGCTCTGGAAGGGATGAAGCGGTCTCCGTGCTTGCTGGGTGAGGACACTGGGGAGCTGGCAGGTGTCAGGGTCCGCCTCATCTCCGTGACCTGAAGGGCACCAGGGGAGGGCTTGCTCTCAGTCCCCAGATCCCCGAGAGTGGCCCCAGGCCAGCCTCTCTCTGCATCTGGCCACTGAGCAAAGGGGGCTTCGATCTTGAAAACCCAAGGGGTGGAGCCACAAAGTCACTCTCGGTCAGTGATTTCTGTGCCAGAAGCTTCCGGAAGGTGCCAGGCCCACAGGCAGGCTCAGCCTCCCAACTATGTCAGGCAGGAGGGTGGAGAGGACTGGGACAGGGGTGGGGGCAGCAGGAATGGGGGCCACGGCGGAGGAGATAGAGCCACGGAGCAGGGCTGGATGAGACCCCGACTGTCCTCCCAGCACTGCGGGATGCCGCACGTTCACTGTTTCTGAACAATCACAGATGCAGGCCTTGATGGCACCGGACATGGAACAGCTGTGCCCAGAACCGCCTGGGAGTACAGTACCCCTTGCCCCCATTTCCTGCCAGGAAGTTAGGACCATGGGTCCACGACACCCATCTAACCCTCCAACCCCATCTGACCATCCCCACGCCGCCCTTTCTCTATGAGGCTCTGCTCCAAGCTGACTGGTGCCCACAAAGGGCACTGTGAAGTGCTCAGCCCTGTACTGGGAACGAGGCTGTGTCTGGACACGAGATTCTCGCAGATGTGATTAGCAGACTCAAGTTAAGAAGAAGCCGTTAGGGTGGGCTCTGACTCATACCAGGTGTCCTCACATGAAGGGAAACACGGGCTGGGCACGGGGGCTCACACCTGTAATCTCAGCACCTTGGGAGGCTGAGGCTGAAGCGGGCGGACAGCCTAAGCTCAGGAGTTCATGACCAGCAACATGGTGAAACCCGGTCTCTACTACAGTACAAAAAATTAGCCAGGCGTGGTAGCGTGAGCCTGTAGTCCCAGCTACTCAGGAGGCTGAGGCAGGAGAATTGCTTGAAACCGGAAGGTGGAGGTTGTGATGAGCGAGATCGTGCCACCGCACTCCAGCCCGGAGGCAGAGCAAGACTCCATCTCAAAAAACAAAACAAACAAAAACAAAAAGAAGAAAGGGAAACATGGACAGAGACAGGGAGATGTTCCCGGGAGGGACGCAGAGGCCAGAGGGACAGTCACAGCCATGGGCAGCACAAGCTCCCAGGCACTGGGAGAGGCAGGGAGGGCCCAGCCCTGGAGACTGGGGAGGGAGTGCAGCCCTGCCCACACGGCAACCTCTGGCCCCAGCCGGCAGGACTGGGAGAGGTTCCGCAAGTGCTGCATGGGACCCACGTGCAGCCTCTGTGGTGGAGGCCCAGGAAACCCAGGCTCGGGTGGGTCACGTTCTGTCTGCTGGCCCATCTTCCTACCCGCAGCCTGTGACGCTGACTGTCAGGGACCTCACACTTCGGAGGGTTCCAGGGAGGTCTCTCCACAAACTAGCACTCTGTCTGGGTCTGAAGGTGGTTCAGTGTCATCAAGTCCAGGCTGTACTGGTGACCGTGGAGCAGGACGGGTTTGTGGGGAGCTCTCCCACCCTGCAAACGCCCACCCCTCACCCACTTCTCTTCACACCCAGGCCTCACTGCATCCCTGAGACTAGAAATGCACTGGGTCCTCACACCGTGACCAGCCCTCCCACGTATCACTGGGACCGCAGGCACACAGAGCGCTCAGGCCCCGACCATCCTCCCAGCAGCCCCGAGAGTGCTCTGGAGGCTGAGGGCCGGCACTAGGGCTGCTCCCTGCTGCTGGGATGCTGGGGCGCCTAAATCCTCTCTGTGCACACAGACACCCCTCTATTTATGCGTCTCTCTGCCTGAAACCCCCAAGGTTGCAAAGACCCCTCTAATTCTATGCTACTTTTCTTTCACAGTGGCCCTGTCCCTTTACCAACCGGGACCCTGCTACATCACGCACGATCCTGGCTCTGCCTCCCTGGATCTGTACCCTGCGGGGCTTCGGGGTCAAGCTGCACCGGAGGGAAAGGGGGCTGTGGTGGGTTCCCATGGGTCCCAGGGCCCAGACTCTAGGGTCTGAAGCTGAATTAAGCCTTGAAGGTGAGTCTGCCCAGGCCCAGCCCAATGCCTGGGCACAGAGGGCACCGGTGCCGAGGGAGCTGTGACGGGGCAGCCCCTCCCCACAGGCCCATGCCTCTCAGACCCACCTGGGTGGGGGGGCTCAGGACAACAGCAACTGAGTCTATGAGAATGACAGCTTGGGTGTCTGTCAGAGGTCAGGGGCTGGTGGCCAACCAGGCTAAGCCTGACGCGATTCTGACCCAGGCTTCCTGTTGTGTAGATGGCAACAGGAGTCTGGTCCCAAAGATGCCCTCAGGAGTCGGATGGGGAGGCAGGTGAGGGATGTGGCTGTCACACAGCAGGCGCCAGCCACAAGCAGCAGTCACGAGCACCAGCCCCGAGCCATTGGCATACCCAGAGCCCAGGGCAAGGCAAACAAAGCAGGGCTGGGAGGCGGGATGGAGCGCAAGGAAGGACAAAACCAGGCATCCCTAAATCCCACAAGGTTCCAGACTCACCTGGGGCCAGGAGGCAGGAATGGGTCTCCCTAAAGGCTCTGCAGGCCACCCTGGGCCTCTGCTCATGGGGCCGCCCCAGCTCCACCACTCCGGGCCTTTTGCCCGCCCCCCCCCCCCAGGCCCTGTTGAGCTCTGGCTACGGCTCTGGGGATGGCAGCAGCCCTGACACCCTGGGAGGCGGAGGCCCCGTGTGACCTGGGGACTGGGACCTGAGTGGTCTGTGGGGCTCCAGCCTATGACAGTGGGGGCTCCTGAGGCTGCTGGCCAGGGCGGAGGCAGCTGGGGGAGGGGAGCTGCAGTGGTAGGCAGGGTGGGGCACTCACTCGGGGCATCGTGTTCTCGTTCTGGATGACAATCTGGCGGAGCAGGCGCCGCTCATAGTCCTGGTCCATGGCGAGGCAGGGCTCGGCCCGCAGCAAGGTCAGCCTGCAGCAGGAAGGGCAGGAGAGGTCAGTGGGGCAGGAGCGGCTGCTCGGGGGGGTTTGGCTACACCTCCAGGCCCTAGGAGCCAGAGTGACCGTGGGCTCCTCCTGGCTCCTCTGCAGGGACCTCCTGCCAGCCCTGGCCTCATCCTGGGTGAGACTCCCCCCAGCCTGGCCCCGGCTGCTGCTCACAGACCCTACCAGCCTGTACACCTGCCCGGGAAGGGGGCTTTCTACCCTGGAGGTCCCGGGAGGGAGGTGGGGGCTGGAGTCCCGGCGGTCCCCACAAGGACTCTTCCCAGAGTGTCGGCAGCCTCGAAGTCCCGAGACGCCACGGGGACCCAGGTTCCTGAGCTACAAGTGCGCATGCATGCAAGGAGGTGCGACAAGCCACACCGGTTCCGAGGCAGTGTGCAAGAGCTGGCCACGCACAGGCCCCGGGCCAGCCACGTGGGTCCAGGCCCAGGGAGACCAGGCCACGGCTTGGGAACATCAGCCTCCGGTGGACAAGCCACATCCATGCTTAGCTACAACCAAAGTAACATCAGGGGCCCGTGCAGCCTCCACAGTGGACCAGGCTCAGCCAAACCAGAAAGGCCCCTCCGAGGTGGGGGTGCATTTATGTTGGAGCCTAAAGGAGAGTGGCCAAGAACATTCCAGAGGGTGATGCACAGCCCGAGGCAGGAAGGGGCTCTGCACGAGAACAAAGTGAAGCCCCTGTGAGCAATGGAGACAGAAGGTAGCCGAGAAACAGCGCCCGTTCCACCAGAGCCAGCAAACCACAGCCCGAGGCCACGCGCAGGCTGCCGGTCCGTAGCTACACTGGTTCTTTTTTTAGACAGGGTCTTGCTCTGTTGCCCAGGCTGTAATGCCATGACACATCACAGATCACCACAGCTTCGACCTCCTGCGCTCAAGTGTGGTGGCACACACCTGTGGTCCCAGCTACTTGGGAGGCTGAGGCGGGAGGATCACTTGAGGCTGGGAGTTTGAGGCGGCAGTCAGCTGTGATCATGCCACTGCACTCCAGCCTGGGTGACACAGGTGACACAGCGAGACTCTGTCTCAAAAATTTAAAAAAGTAAAAAAAAAAACACCTAGAGTTCATCACCTTGACCACATTGAAGTAGGCAGTTCTGGCTGAGCATGGTGGCTCAGGCCTGTAATCCCAGCACTGTGGGAGGCCAAGGCGGGTGGATCACCTCAAGTTGGGAGTTCAAGACCAGCCTGACCAACATGGAGAAATCTTCTCTCTACTAAAAATACAAAAAATTAGCCAGGTGCACATGCCTATAATCCCAGCTACTCAGGAAGCTGAGGCAGGAGAATCGCTTGAACCTGGGAGGTGGAGGTTGCAGTGAGCCAAGATCATGCCACTGCACTCCAGCCTGGGCGACAGAGTGGGACTCCGTCTCAAAAAAAAAAAAAAAAAAAAAAGCATACAGTTCAGTGGCGTTTAGCACATTCCCATGGCCGCGCAGCCGCCACCATGACCGTCTCTAGAGCCCTCTGACCCTCCCACTCACTCCCCATCCCTCTCCCCAGCCCCTGGTGACTTCTCTGGCAGGAAGTTCCTCAAAGGTTAAAAACAGTTGCTGTCAGTGAGGAAAGCTTTGCCCAGTTCTGCTCCTGATGTTAAGTGACAGCACAGTTATGGCAAAGTAAGGAAACCCAGTGACCACGTGACCCAGCACTTCCCACATACGCACCCAGGGAAGGGAGAGACGCAGACCCCCAATTCACATCGGCCAAGACAGCAAAATCCTGTGTGCCCATCGACAAGTGAGGCACGAACCAGTGCAACCCTCCACACGCCGGAACATGATTCAGCCATGAAAAGGAGCGAGGCTCTGACCCAGGCCACAGCGTGAACACGCCCAGAGGACGTCATACCCCATGAGAGATGCCAGGCACAAAGGGCCACGTGAGGGTCTGGGAGGGCCCTGGAGGAGGCCGACTCACAGAGACCCGCCTTTCTAGGAAACAAGACACCCGAGGCATGCACTTGCTTGAGTCAGCAGGTGGGGACAGACCTACGAGGGTCTGCGGCCACTCCTGTCATCCCAGGCACCACCCTGTCCTGAGATACCGAGGCGGTCAGCCTGATCCACCTCCACAGCCCCAGGCGGCCTCTGACCAGCTCCTGGCCTGGAGTTGGAGATAAGGTCTACCACATGGCTGCTGCTTCGGCAAGAGCCCACAGGCCGTGCTGCCTGGGCCTGCAGTCACAGGACACAAGGGGTCCCTGGCTCAGCCGCATGGAGCCAGTCAGGCTCTGAGGACAGGAGCATGCAGCCCGAAGTCCCGTGTTAGTGGGTTTTCGCGGCTTATCTCATGTCCCCTCTGCAAGGCCTCATGCCAGCCCCACTGCCTGTGCAGATGAGGACACGAAGGCAGAGTACGGGGCAGCAATGCCCACGGCCACACAGAAGGCCCAGGGTCCTCTATGTGGCTCAGCCCGCTGCACAGGGTAGTCCAGGTGGCCACAGAGCAGCAGAGAACTGGCGGTTCTCCCTCCTTCCAGCCTGCCGCTCCCAGGGCCAGGTCACATCACCAGCTTCCTTCCACCCCCTTCTCCCCTGCCCAGGGCCGGCCTCTCCCCACCCACAGTCCCCACCAGTTCTCCACAGGGCACAGCCACCTCCCGCAGCCCCACCACAGCTAACCACTCCTGAGGCAGCACTGACCATCCCAGGACAAGGAGAGGCCTCAGCATCTGTCCCCAGTACAGACAGCCTCTGGCGAACAATTTCCCGAGCCTGGAGCCAGAGGGGCCATAGAGACTCGAGCCCCAGGAGAGCTGTGGGTGTGGGCCGCCCAGGACTGCTTCACAGATGAAGGGGGAATCTATGCAGACCCTGAGCCCCAAGAGAGCTGTGGCCCCCCACCCGGGACCAATTTGTAGATGAAGGGACTCTACACAGATCCACCAGCACTTATAGAAAGGAAACCTTGCAGCAGAGGCCAATGGCAATGGCAGAACTGTAGCATGGAAAACCCACGCTGGGGGCAGGGGCTCCTGAGGGGGCCCCATCAGAACCGCAGTGCTGGTCCAGGCCATGCAGGGTTGCTGTTGCAGAGGACATCAGCCATGTCCATGGCTGGGAAGGACAGCTGGACACATCTTCACAAGACAACAGCACCCAGACAGTAGCCTGGACCCCTTAGCACAACAAAAACCAGGCAGGACCCAAACACAGCTGCAGTGCCGGGGCGAGGGAGCCGCGCTAAGGCTCCAGGAGTCCCGGAGCCAAGCGGGGAGGAAGTCATTCAAGTCCAGCAAACACGAGGCCAGAGGGAGGCCAGCTCTCCCTCAGGGTAGATCTGTCACCTACCCACTGGAGTGAGCTCCCTACCCAAGGGGGCAGTGTGGGATGAAATCAAGCTGGGGGAGCAGCATTCTGGGCAGCGGCATGTGCTACCTGGAAGCACTTTTTTTGGAGACAGGGTCTCTTGCTCTGTCGCCCAGGCTCGAGTGAGGTAGCTTCATCACAGCTCCCTGCAGCCTCCCGCTCCTGGGTTCAAGCTATCCTCCCTCCTCAGCCTCCTGAGTAGCTAGGACCAGAGACACGTACCACCATGCTGAGCTAAAGGAAGCACGTCTGTAAAAGAGGCCCCCAATGACCAGCTGCCAAGTAAAAGCAAAATGGACACCGGCGCCAGCAGACTCCATTCCCCCGCACAGAACAGTCTCCCCAAGACCTGGCACCCCGCAGAGGGAACCGTGGGCATGGGAGCACAGGCACAGGCGGAACAGCTCCAGGACTGTGTTCCATGCCAGCACCACCCTGCTCCAGATGTGACTGGGGGTGAGGCCCAGCCCTTCCCGGGTCCTAGTGGAGCCTCTCCTGCTTCTGTACCATCAGCAGCCTTGGCCAGGCCTTCTCCAAGAATGGAAAAACCTCATCATCAAGTCTTACTCATTACAGAATTTAGTTTCAAGGCACGGCAGGAGAATACCAGCTCGAGACCCGCCAACATGAAGAGATCCTGTCTCTCCGAAAACACAGAGGCACTGTGGGGACACTGAGGCAGGCAGATAATCTGAGCTCAGGAGATCGAGACCAGCCAACATGAAGAGATCTTGTCTCTCCGAAAACACAGAGGCACTGTGGGGACACTGAGGCGGGCAGATAATCTGAGCTCAGGAGATCGAGACCAGCCAACATGAAGAGATCTTGTCTCTCCGAAAACACAGAGGCACTGTGGGGACACTGAGGCGGGCAGATAATCTGAGCTCAGGAGATCGAGACCAGCCAACATGAAGAGATCTTGTCTCTCCGAAAACACAGAGGCACTGTGGGGACACTGAGGCGGGCAGATAATCTGAGCTCAGGAGTTCGAGACCAGCCTGGCCAACATGGTTAAACCCTGTCTCCACTAAAAAATAAAAATTAGCTGGCATGGTGGCACATGCTTGTAATCCCGGCTACTCAGGAGGCTGAGGCAGGTGAATCACTTGAACCCAGAAGGTGGAGGTTGCAGTGAGCTGAGATCGCACCACTGCACTCCAGCCTGGGCAAGAGAGAGAGACTCCGTCTCAAAAACAAAAACAAAAGACAGCTGGGTGCGGCGGTACACATCTGTAGTCCCAGGACTCAGGAGGCTGAGGTGGAGGCCGCAGTGGGCGGAGATCACGCCACTGCACTCCAGCCTGGGCAGCAGAGCAAGACACTGTCTTAGGGGCAAAAAAATAATAATAATAGGGCCGGGCGCGGTGGCTCACGCCTGTAATCCCAGCACTTTGGGAAGCCGAGGCGGGTGGATCACGAGGTCAACAGATCGAGACCATCTTGGTCAACATGGTGAAACCCCGTCTCTACTAAAATTACAAAAAAATTAGCTGGGCACAGTGGCGCATGCCTGTAGTCCCAGCTACTCAGGAGGCTGAGGCAGGAGAATCGCCTGAACCCAGGAGGCGGAGGTTGCTGTGAGCCGAGATCGCGCCATTGCACTCCAGCCTGGGCAACGAGAGCGAAACTCCGTCTCAAAAAAAGAAAAAGAAAAAAAAAAAAGACGGGGTTTCACCATGTTGGTCAGGCTGGTCTTGAACTCCCGACCTCAGGTGATCCACCCACCTTGGCCTTCAAAGTGTTTGGATTGCAGGCGTGAGCCACCACGCCCGAATGGAACTTTTATCTTTCTTTTTTTTTTTTTTTTTTGAGACAGAGTCTCACTCCGTCACCCAGGGGTATGGGGTGCTGAGGCATGGAGTGCAGTAGTGCGACCTCGGATCACTGCAATCTCTGCCTCTCAGGTTCAAGTGATTCCCCTGCCTCAGCCTCCCGCATAGCTAGGACTACAAGCACAAACCACCAAGCCAAGCTAATTTTTTGTATTTAGTAGAGACAGGATTTCACCATGTTGGAGCGGATGGTCTCGCTCTCCTGACCACGTGATCCACCCATCTCGGCCTCCCACAGTGCTGGGATTATAGGCGTGAGCCACCTCGCCTGGCTGGAATTTTTATCTAAAATTGATTGATTGATTGATTGAGACGGAGTCTTACTCTTTTTGCCCAGGCTGCAGTCCAGTGGCCTGATCTCAGCTCACTGCAACCTCCACCTCCTGGGTTCAAGTGATTCTCCTGCCTCATCCTCTTGAGTAGTCGGGATACAGGTCCCCACTACCACGTCCAGCTAACTTTTTATATTTTTAGGAGAGACAGGGTTTCATCATGTTGGTTAGAGAACTCCTGACCTCAGGTGATCCACCTGCCTCAGCTTCCCAAAGTGCTATATTACAGGCCTGAGCCAGCACTCCTGGCCAGAATTTTTTTTTTGAGACAGGGTCTCACTCTGTCACCTAGGGCTGAAGGGCGGTGGTCCAATTATGGCTCACTGCAGCCTTTGCCTCCTAGGCTCAAGTGATCCTCCCACCTCAGCCTTGGGAGGAGCTAGGACCACAGGTGCACTTCCCAGACCCAGCCAATTTTTGTATATTTTATAGAGACGGGGTCCTCCCATGTTGCCCAGGCTGGTCTTGAACTTCTGGGCTCAAACAATCTGCCCGCCTCGGCCTCCCACAGTGCTGGGTTACAGGTGTGAGCCACCGTACCCAGCCAGCATTTTTCCAGAATGAGAGAATGTAAACAAGTAGGACCAGCAGCAGTGGCGGTAGCCACGTGCACTGAAGCACGTGCTGGCAGACTCCGCCTGTGATTAGATAAATATCATCCCCCACTTCCCCAGAATACTGATGCCACCCTGAAGTCAACACTGAGAGCCAGTACACTCGGCACCAGCCCCAGTTGCAGACGGCCCCTGGCACACATCGCTGCCCAGCAGCACATGGACACACCTGACAAGCCCTCCTCATCAAGAGAGACGCTGTGAGCCAACGGCCCAAACGCCAGCAGGCGGCAGCAGCCACAGTCAACTGGCCACACAGCTCACTCACACTGCCCAAGGCTGGTGGGCAAAACCACAGGGCCCAGGCCTGCCCAGCAGCCTGAGACCCGGCTCCTGTCTGTCCCTGCAGTGAGGGCAGGGACGCACACGGCGGGTGTGCAGACTGTCTTTCCACCTCCAAGATCTGGAGGGACACAAGTCCATGTCCCAGGAGCCGTAGTGACATGGCTGCTGAACTCAATGCGGGAAAATCAGAAGTCTGCAGGGCAAACACACCACCACCACAGCCGGAAAGAAAATGACAAACTGGGAGCAGCACGTGCCACCCACAGGAGAGCCCAAAGTAGCAAAGGACACCAACAAACCGTGCTGGGAAAGGACCAGCTTCCCCTTGCAGTCAGGAGCTGCCAGTCCAACCAGGACACTGCCCTCCTGCCTGTCAGACGGGGGATGCGGCGGACTGGAGGACTCGGCCTCGCCAGCCCAGGCACGGGGAAAGAGAGCCACGTGTGCTCACGGTTGGCAGAAACTGCAACTGTTAAGGCTTCAAAGAAAGGCAATTTAGCAACTGCTTCCAAAATTTTAAAAATGCACATCCTCTGTGATGCGGTATTTCTACTTCTAAGAATTTATCCTTAGAAACTCTGGGTGCGTGTGTGCAGAGATGAAGCACTGCAGCAGCTCGTCAGGGCGGAAGACAAAAGAGGCCCCCAGACGGGGGGTGGACAGGCTGCGAGACCCACTGCACGGAAAACCAGCCCATGCAGAGCATGCTGCTCCCAGAGGGTTCGAGAAGCGGCTAGTCACAGTCAGGTTTAGGGAGAGGAAGGAGAGGATGGGGGCTAGGGAGGAAGGAAGCCTCATTTTTCCTTACTTCTCCTGGCACCTCAATTTGTACTTCTTGAATTCTGTGTCAGATGAACTGTGAGCTCTTCAAAAAAAATAAAGCAGAAGGCAGAGATGGGCCAGGTGGGCTCTGGATGAGACCGGGCACCACCACATTCTCACTCCTTGGCTGGACGCTCAGAAGGTTTCATTGTAAACTGTCAGAGGAAGAGAAATCGGGATCTGAAGTTGCTGTTAAGGAATTCCTGAGCATGGACACCATGTGTGGCCGTGTGGAAAGGCTTCAAGTGGATCAAGGGGGTTCAGCACCAACTTGGAGCCTCACCACGAATTAGGAGTGAATCAGTGAATGACTCGTGCTCTGCTGGGCCCTGCAGAGGTTCTCGTCCATGGCCCAGGGTTGCCTGGTGGGGACACTGCTGTGGCTCTGCCTGTGTGACCGACACCTGTAGCCTGGCTTCCCTGGTCTGCATGGTGACCCGGGCCCTGGACTGCTGGGCTTCCTGCTGCCCCTTCCCCTCGGCAGGGCACTGCCCTGTGGGTCCTGCACACCTACCGGGCCAGCTCATGAGAAAGGTGCACCTCTCACCCCCAGGCCCCAGAATGAAGAGCCAGGAGGCCCCTGCTGCCACTGTCCCGGGTAAGCCTTCAGTCTCCCAGCTTCCACTGCTTCCCTGGGAAATGGGCATGGCCCCGTCACCTGACAGAACAGTGACAAAGCCCCCATACGAGGGAGACGCCCTAGTATAACCATGTGGAAAATACGGAGTTGGCCCCTGTTCACATCCGACACCAGAATAAGCCCCCGATGGGGCAGACAGCATAAATCAGGGGGACCCCAGCTCCTGGGATGCACCTCTTCTCTCCCTCCCACTTGTGATTTCAATGTGTGCACCCTCCTGGGACCTCAGCGGGGCAGAGGATCATGGGATGCAGAGTCTCTTGGGGGTCCATGAAATCCCTTAACCTAGGGGGTCTCAACCAGGGTGATTCTGCCCCCAGGGGATATGTGGTGATGTCTGGGGGTCCCCCTGGCATGGAGTAGTTGGAGGCCAGAGACGCTGCTCAGCACCCTGTAGTACCCAGGACAGCCCCACCCAGAGAATGATCCGGCCTCAATGTCCACAGTGTACAGCAACAGAGACCCTGCTCTAGGGCAAGGCCAGGGAAGTGACTTGAAGGAGGGAGACCTCGGGGAGTGTGGCCAGGGACCCCCCCCAGCCCCACCCTCACCGTGCCCGTGGGGAGACGAGGAAAGGGAGATGATGACATGGCACGATTTGTCTCCAAGTTTGACTTCCAGGTGTCCCTGGGTGAGGAGGCAAAGTGCGAGCAGCTGTCTGCCATGTAGATGGGGCCTGGGAGCCACATTGGTGCAAAGCCCCCAGATCTCGCTTGGTGCGGAATCTTCCTCTGGTTCCTGGAGGCTCAGCCAAGCTCCTACCCCTGCAGGGCCTTGCTCAGCTGGAAAAACTGGTCCCCACTGTCTTCATATTTTTTTAGGCTCTTTAACGGACAAAAGGAATGGAAACATCCCAATGCCAGCTCTTTTAGGACTCAGGTGTTGAGGCTGACTATGGTCTGGACACACCACCTATGAGATGATATACACCAGGGCGCGCCGCCAACCCTGGCCCTGTGGACACTGGAGCAGGACAGCCCAGGGTAAGGGTAACTGCAGCCTGCAGGTGGGGCGACACTTGCTACCCACAGGGGACATGGAGCTGGTAAGGGAGGAAGCAGTGACCAGAGCCTCATGGGTACTGCCACGTCCCACGTGGGCTCCTGGCCCAGCATTGGAGCGTCAGAACACATGTGGGGCTAGGACAGAGGTGAACCTTGCCCATGCCCACCGGCTGGCACAAGTGGAAGCACTTAGTGTGCTTGACTGAATGTTCTCGACAGTGGGCAGGCAGGCACCATCACATCTCTGGGACTGGGACAGCACCCCTGCTCAAGGTGACCATGCGGCTGGTGAGGGTAGAGCTGGGATGTGAACCTAGCCAGTCTGGATCTGGCTCTGTGTCCACTCCCTGGCCCTTGCCCTACAGGCAGGCCCTGGCTCCAGGAGGCGAGATGTCTTAGACTCAGCACTCGGCCACCCATGCCCATGGGGAAGCTGCAAGGCACCACCTCCTGCTGGAGTCTCTGCAGAGTGGTTCCGGCAGGAGGCCTCCGACTAAGGATTACTGGATAGTGGTGACAGAGCAGGGGGGGCAGGCTGGGACACAGCCCCTCACAGGTCTGGACCCCTGCAAAGTTGCAAAGTGTTTCTGCCTCAGGAGTCCCAGGTGCCCCTAGACCGCCTGTGAGGCACTGGCCCAACTGCCTTCTCAGGGAGCCCCTTCCTTGTGTGCAATGGAAGGGGCCATACCGGCCGCCTGGGGCTGGTGTCAAGCCATCCTCTGCAAGGCTGGGGAGAAGCACCAGATGAGAAAGACCCCACAGAAAAATGGAGGGTCAGCCAGCTATCCGCTCTCTACTCTCAGGGGATTTGGGAGTTTCTGGAGGGAGTCTGCCTCCTCCCTGCACCCAGGAGTCTTTCACGAAACACAGCTTCACAAGCGTCACATCAGCTGGCTAATCTCATTTCCAGCCACCCCTCAGAAGAGGACTCTAGATGGTTTTTTTTTTTTTGAGACGGAGTTTTGCTCTTGTTACCCAGGCTGGAGTGCAATGGCGCGACCTCGGCTCACCGCAACCTCTGCCTCCTGGGTTCAGGCAATTCTCCTGCCTCAGCCTCCTGAGTAGCTGGGATTACAGGCACGCGCCACCATGCCCGGCTAATTTTTTTGTATTTTTAGTAGAGACGGGGTTTCACCATGTTGACCAGGATGGTCTCGATCTCTTGACCTCGTGATCCACCTGCCTCGGCCTCCCAAAGTGCTGGGATTATGGGCGTGAGCCACCGCACCTGGCCCTCTATGGCTCTTTTGAATCACATCTGGATGCCCTCGGTGTCACGATGCGATTAAGAGGGCGGGCGTGCCAGCCACAACGACGGCCTCATCAGAGCATGGGAGCCCCCACCAGCACCACGCCACACTCAGCCCTTGGCCCTGCAGCTCCAGGGGGCCAAGGTGGGCAAACCACCCAGACTCCCTTATCACCAGCCCTCCCTGTTCCCTCCCATGAAAGTAAACCAAGCCCCGTGAAAAGGTTCTAGCAGGATCCGTAAGAAAAAGTGTGGGCTTTCGATGGGACCAGTCCAGGCTTTGACTCGGCTTCAACCCTTCCTGGCCACACAGCTTTTGGGCAGCTTCAGCCCTTGGGACGTCAGTCTCTTCAGTTAAACAGGGATAACGCTGCCTGCCTAGGAAGCTGTGAAATCAGGCACCAGGTCTGTGAGGCGGCAGGCAGCCGGCCTGACCCAGAGCAGGTGCTCAGTGCCCACTGGCTGGGCCCGGGACTCATGACAGGTATACACAGGTCCCCCGAAGTGCTCCGTGCACACTGGCTTGGCCTGGGACTGATGACAGGAGCACACAGGTCCCTGGAGGTGCTCAGTGTGCGCTGGCTGGGCCTGGGACTCATGACAGGTACACGAAGGTCCCTAGACCTGCTCCCTACTCGACTGTCCTTGGGCATGGAGTGCCCTGGCAGCCAGGGTGCTGCCCCAGTAACTGCCTGGCCACAGACCGTGACACCCATCTCCTCCCATGCTGCCCTGCTCAGTTCCAGGGAGGGAGGATGTCAGAGAAATGGGGCGCCTGTGGGGGAGTGGTCATGATTGCAGGGACGAACTCACACAGGAGAGAGGTGGATTCTGGACCAGAACCAGAGCCGGGGCCTAGCGGAGAGAACGCTGAGGCACAGAGACTCGGACTCTACGGTGGGGAGTCCTGGGCTCTGCAGGGCACTGAGCAGCATCCCTGGCCTCCATCCACTCCATGCCAGGAGCGCTCCCCCGTCGTGACAATGCACAAATGTCCCGAGACATTGCCTAGTGTCCTGTGGAGCAGTCATCCAGGCGAGGAATGCCTGGGTGAGGGAATCCTTAGGTGGAAGAGCTGCTCCCGGGGCAGACAGACCAGTGCTGGCCTCCCCCATGCCTCAGCCCTCTGGTAAGAGCAGACAGAGGCCTGCCACCCACCGTCTCTCTGCTCCCATCATCCTTCTTCCATGACCCAGCGGCCTGCAGGCCTGGTGAGGATGAGAACCTTGCCCAGGGGTCACAAAACAGAAGTTCCCAGGCCAAATCAGATCTGGGCGACAGGAAGATTCACAATAGGAGGGTACGTGCGCAAAACGACACAGGAATCTGAACAGCCTGCCTCGTTCCAGAATCCAGCAGCGTGGCTGTGTGCACTGGTTCACACTCAGTGCTTTGGAAGGCCAGGCCAGGAGGATCACATGAGCCCAGGAGTTCAAGACCAGCCTGGGCACAGTGGCTCACACCTGTAATTCCAGCACTTTGGGAGGCCGAGATGGGCAGATCACAAGGTCAAGAGATCGAGACCATCCTAGCCAACATGGTGAAACCCCATCTCTATTAAAAATACAAAAGTTAGCTGTGCGTGGCAGCACGCGTGTGTAGTCCCAGCTGCTCAGGAGACTGAGGCCGGAGAGTCACTTGAAGCTGGGAGGCGGAGGCTGTAGTGAGCCAGGACTGTGCCACCTCACTCCAATCTAGCAGAGTGAGGCTAGGTGGGCGGATCACTTGAGTCTGGAAGGTTGAGGCTGCAGGGAGTCGTGACTGTGCCACGGCACTCCAGCCTGGGCAACAAAGTGAGAGGAAAGACAGACAGACAGCAGGGAGGGAGGGGAGGGAGGGAAATCAGAACCATGCACAAGCAGCCCTCGCCCGTGTCCTGTGCCCTTACATGGCTCCTGGACTCTGCAGGGAGCCAACATGTTTGCTGATAGCAATACTGGAACCACCGGGTACGAAGGCAGTGAGGAGACTGCCCAGTGCCTTTGGGGCTGTGCTTGCAATAAAGAGTTTCCTGGAAAGGCAAAAAAAAAAAAAAGCGAGACCCTAGCTGAGAAAGAAAGAAAGAGAGAGAGAGAGAGAGAGAGAGAGAGCGAGAGAGAGGAAAATAAAGAAATCGGACCAGGCACAATTTGGGCAGGCTGGGGGGGAAGGACACACATGCTGGAGCAGAAGTCAGGGAGCAAAGGTTGGATGGCAGGTCTCCTGAGCTGGGCTCACTGGGGTTGGCATGGGAGTGACACCATCAGACAATCAGCCGGCAAGAGGAGGCAGCAGGGCCTGAGTCACAGAGCAGAGCAAGGAGGATGCCGCCACATAATCACCAGCACCTGCCTCTTCACGGCAGCTCAACTCACAACAGGCAGAGGCTGGAAACGGCACCGAGGTCCACTGGAGGAGGAGACACACAACCTGGTCCGTCCCTCCACACTACACAACACGACATGACCCGGCCATGAAAAAGAGCAGGGCTCTGACCCAGGCCACAGCCCAGACGCACCTTGAGGCCGCCACACTCAGTGAGAGAAGCCAGACACAAAAGGCCACACAGTGTGGGATCCCATTTCTCTGAAATGTCCAGGACAGGCCCAGCCACAGAGGCAGGCGAGACAGGTGGTGGCAGCCGAAGGAGTCAAGGCTGGTTTCTTCCTGAGGGGATGAGAACGCTCTACGATAGAGGTGACGGCTGCACGGGCCTGTGAACATATAAAAACCAGGGACTGCGCCCTCTACAGCAGTGAATCGTGCGGCCTGAGATGTGTGTTCAAATAAAGCTGCCGCAAGAAAACCTTAAATAAAGTAAGAAGGGCCAGTGAGGCCAGGCACGGGGCTCATGCCTGTAACCCCAGCACTTTGGGAAGCCAAGGTGGGCGGATCATCTGAGGAGCAAAACTCCATCTCAAAAAAAAAAAAAGAAAAAAAAGAAGGGCCAGTGAAGGAACAACCAAAGTTCAACACCGAGGGGTAGGGTCCGCGGTTATGGGAGTGGGGCCCGCTGTTCAGGGTGGGGTGTCATTTGTGATCAGTGGCAGCCGAGTGACTTACTGAGGTGCACCAGGTGGGCTGCTTGTGCATCCCTCATCCCAGCCATGAATGAGGACACCGAGGCAGAGGAAGACAGTCACCTGCCAAAGCACAAAGGGACCCAGGGCCTCTGGGGACATGGACATCCCTGGACAAGACCCTAAGGGGCTATGGCTCTCTGATGAGTCCAGCAGCTGGGGAGAAAGTCAGGTGTGGGCAGGGAGGTGACAGGTGGAGGTGACAGGCATGAGGTCACTGGTGACAACAGGGAGGTGTTGGGGGCAGAAAAGAGATGAGGTCAGACACTCCCCCTTCCTGCTGGAGGTGTCCGGGTCACTGTGGCAGCCCCAGCAGGGGGCCTACTCTGGGCAAACACACAGCCCAGGGCACTGCGAAAGCCAAGGGCAGAGCCGGGACCAGGCACAGTCGTTGCCCTCACGGGGCTCACAGTTCAGAATGGTCAAAAGGCTAACCTCCAGCCCAAACACTGTCAAGTGTCCCCTTGGGACAGAATCGGCCAGTGGAGAGCTTTGCTCCAGGAGAAAGGAGTGACAGGGCTGGGATCCGAGCGTTCCTAGAAGACCAAGCCCCTGGATCTTCAGCTCTGCCAGGACTCCCCAGGAGTGGCCCCACACACACAACTTTCCATCCTCTTCCCACTAAGTGACACCCAGAAAAAGTTCCTCAGAAGCAATTCCATTCTGAGCCTCCCCAAGCCCAGAAGTCCCCAGTCTACAAAACCCTCCCACCAGAAGCCCCAATAAACAGCAGTGGTCTGAAAACCAATGGGAGGCCGGGCGCGGTGGCTCACACCTGTAATCCCAGCACTCTGGGAGGCCGGGCGAGGTGGCTCACACCTGTAATCCCAGCACGCTGGGAGGCCGAGCGAGGTGGCTCACACCTGTAATCCCAGCACGCTGGGAGGCCGGGCAAGGTGGCTCACACCTGTAATCCCAGCACTCTGGGAGGCCGAGCCGCGTGGATCATCTGAAGTCAGGAATTCAAGACCAGCCTGGCCAACACACCAAAACCCCATCTCTACTAAATATACAAACACTAGCCAGGTGTGGTGGTGCACGCCTGTAATCCCAGCTACTTGAGCGGCTGAAACAGGAGAACTGCTTGAACCTGGGAGGCGGAGGTTGCAGTGAGGCCACAGTGTGGGCAACAAGAGTGAAACTCCATCCAAAAAAAAAAAAAAAAAAAACCCGAAAGAAAAGAAAAGAAAATCGATGTAGCCCCACCCTGAAGACTGATGGGGCTTGTTCGTTTCTGGGAACTCCTCCCCCACCCCACCATTGCCTGCAGCCAGTGCGCGGGTTCTCACATTTTACCTGGGACGCAGTCACAGGGGCAAACTGGCGGGCACGACTTTGCCAAGACACCCCCCCCAGCACAGCACGGGGCTTGCCCTTCAGCAGGAGTCTGCGCCTTAGCAAAGCCCCCTGCAACCCAACTCCTCGCCGCGCGCCAGGCAACGGGCAGCGGCCAGCACACCTGCCTCCACTTGGGATTCCGAAGGAAACGACCATCGGGTGTCCCCAAAACACGGAAGGGCCCTGACACACGCGGGATTCCGCACCGCAGACATCCCAGGGATGTCGTCAGCTTCCATCCCCACCCCCACGCCCAGAGAGACCCCCCTGCTTTCACTTCGAAGACCCCGCAGGCTGCGCGTTCGGGGTGGATGGTTTTCCCTTAGGGAAATCACCCCCCTTCCAAGCACAGAGGTTGGGGTGGGGGCCTCACCCCGGAGAGGCATGAGGTCATCGCCGCACACTGAGGCGGGGCGGGGGGATCCGCTTTCCTGCCAGAGGGGCGCCCTGAGCCAGAGGACGAGTTTGGGGCGGAGGAGACGGGAAAAGCGAAACAGGTGTAGGCTGTGGGTGGGGGTCAGCGCCGGACGGTGGAGGGGGTCGGGGGTGTCAGGGGTCCGACTAGGGGCAACATGGCTGGGACCGGGGGCCACACTCCACGTTTTGGGGGGTCGGAGATGGCCAGGCTTGCGTCTGGGGGGAGACCCAGGGCAGGACGGAGGTTCAGGCCGGAGGAGGGACGGGGCTGGGGCTTGCACAGCTGGTCCGACGCCGCGGTGGGAGAGCCGGGGCTGGGGGCAGAAGGCAGAGGGGACCCCAGACACAGGCTTCCGGGGGCTCCGGGCTCAGAGGGGCGGGCGGGACGGGGACCTCCGGGGCCCACGACAGGGACCCCAGACACAGGCTTCCGGGGGCTCCGGGCTCCGAGGGGCGGGCGGGCGGGACGGGGACCTCCGGGGCCCACGACAGGGACCCCAGACACAGGCTTCCGGGGGCTCCGGGCTCAGAGGGGCGGGCGGGACGGGGACCTCCGGGGCCCACGACAGGGACCCCAGACACAGGCTTCCGGGGGCTCCGGGCTCAGAGGGGCGGGCGGGGGGCGCCCCCGTGGGCAGGACTCCACCCGGGAGGGTCTGAGCCGGGAAGAACCGGGGATGACAGGCCGGAGGGAAAGCTCCCGGGCTAGGAGGCGGGGCCGGCCGTCCCGGGGGTGCGCAGTGGGGGTCCCCGGGTTTGGGGGTGCAGAGCGCGGCCTTTTTTAAGACGAACGGCGGCGGGGGGACGTCACGACTCGCAGGTGGCTCGGGGCGGGGGGTCACGCACGGCCCCAAAGTGGGGGGACGCTGGGAATTGGGTGTTAACGCGGAAGATGGGGATGCGGAGGTCGCCCGGGCCTGCTTCGGCCTAGGGGGCGCCATTCCAGGGGACTGGGGACTCCGGGAGGGGCCTGAGCTGGAGCGGGGGTCGCAGCCGGCCCGGCCCGCACGCTTTTGGGGGGTCGCGATCGAGCTCCGCCGCCTGCGGCCCGGGGGGGCGGGTCCCCGACCCCGGCGGCCTCACCTGGCTCGCTCCCGTCGCTGGCTGGCTCCCGCCGACCCCGCCTTTCTCGGCACCGCACCGCGCCCGCCTCCGACCCCCACAGCTCCCGCAGGCCCAGCGGCGACTGCCGCTGACAGGATCCCGGGCTCCGCGGTCCCAAATATGGCGGCGGACGCTGCTCCGCTGCCTCCCGGCTCCCTCCCTCCGGGGCGCGCGCCCTACCGGCCGCGCGCGCCCCCGCGACCCGGCCACGCCCCCACGCCGACGCGCGGCGCATCGGGACCACGCCCCCCCGCCTGCTCCGGCCCCATCAGACCCCGCCCACTCCGAGCGGGTGCGCCTGCGCACCATGTGCATCTCGGGAGGACGTGACGTCTCCCGCGATTCGAATCAATACAGGAAGCGTGACGCCAAGCGTTGCCCAGGGCAACCGCGGCCGGAATACGACCCACGGGGCGCTAGACGATGCGGAAATGGCTCTGCTAGGTGAAGGGCGTCGTTCCCATTGGGGACAGGCGCGGAATTGGGAGCCCCAGGTCGGAGTCTCCCCAGGGTAGGTCGAAGCCAGGCACGCCACGCCTAACGAGCGCAGATGGAATCCAACCACAGGTGCAGGTGCCGAAACAAACGCCACAGCTGGGAGTCATTCATTTATTCAACAAACTTGCCTTGCCCTCCTCCTGAGTGCTGCTCCTCCAGGCCCCAGTGAGGCAGCAGACAACAAAACAAGTTTTTAGCCTGTAATCCCAGCACTTTGGGAGGTCGAGGCAGGCGAATCACGTGAGAACAGGAGTTTGAGACCAGCCTCGCCAACCTGGTGAAACCCCGTCCCTACTAAAAATACAAAATTAGCCGGCTGTGGTGGCGCCTGCCTGTAATCCCAGTTACTCCGGAGGCTGAGGCAGAACTGCTTGAACCCAGGAGGCGGAGGTTGCAGT